AAAGGGATTGGAAATGGAATGCCCAGAGCTCTGACTCACCAGCTTTTGGATCTATAGTGGGATTACTTATTAATGTACTGTTCTGCATCCTGCCCCTCTGCCAGGCATTCCTAGCCCTGTAGTCTGCCTGAGTGGCTGTTCCTCAACCCTGCTGGGTCCCTCTCCCCTAACTCCTGCTCGTGTTAACACCTGACACTGTGAGCCATGGACAGTGGAGGAACAGAGCTGCATGTTCTGTTCAATCCCTCCTTCAGCAGGGCTCCACTGAAGACCAGAAAGGAGCTGGGATTTATCTCTTCCTTTACCCCAGTGTGAATCACTGGAGCTTGTGAGTCAGACCCCCTCCATTCCCGAAGCTGAGCGAGTCCCTGCACGTTCCCCGGTGCGCGGTAACTGTCCCCATGTGTGCTTCCAGCCACATGGAACACCAGCCCATGGATTGAGCCAGTGGAAACACGCATGTGGACAGATCCTGGAGCACAGCTGACATCTGGTACCTTGTGTGCCTGGGTGTTTATAGAGAACAGAACTGCTACTGTAGGATATCCGCTGTGGGTTATTCTTCTTGTAAACAAACCTTCTTTTTGGCTAATATTTCCACGAGCTCCTTAGAACTGCAGCAGAAAACTGAGAACAAATCAGGAGCATGTTCACACAGCCCACACGGAGGTGCCTTGGCTGGCAGTCAGTTGTGCTGCTGTTGAGTATCTCTGAGGCCACGAGCTTTCACCACAAAGGCTGCACTCAGCATCTGCAAGGGGCTTCCACATCTGTCCCCAAACTCTGTGGTAACGTGGCAGCACCCTGAAGCAGCCCAGGCTCACAGACCTGGGCAATGTGCACCTGCTCCTGCTACAGTCCCACTGCTGGCTCCTGCCCAGGGGCACCTTCCCCTTCAAGCTTTGGGAGTTTCAATTGCAATACCCTTCTGCACAACCTTTCAACCAATTCCTGACTCATCTGGGGGCTGAGGTCAAGCCAGTTCCTACTGAAACATGAGATACTCTCTGCAGAGACTCTTCACCTGCTCTCTGAGTAGTTTTCCAGCATTAGCAATTGCCATGGGCAGTTCAAGAGAAAGCACAGTGCCTGTGCTGCCAGCTTGTTAGCACTGACAAACAACAAAAAGCTGAAGCACACACAGTGTTTTTCCTGAACACCAAATAAAAATAAGAGGGAATGTCTGGAATTGCTGGGGAATTTAACTAACCAAATGCTTTACATTTCTCTGGTCTTTTCTCCCCAAGCGACCTCACAAAAGTACAGATGAAATGCAGACCCTTTTCAACTTGCTCCTTGCCTATCTCACTTAGCAAGGCTTCCTCCAGCCCTTTTTTCTTCTCATCCCAATCCCCTGCCACAGCTCTGCCTCTGCTCAGCCCTGCTGTGAACGTTGGTGTTGGTCTTGGTCCCTTTGTCTCAGTTCCCCAAAGTCTATCCCAAATCTTTCAGAATGTGCCAGGGCAGCTGCTTTTACACTCAAGGACTTGTCCCAAAGTCATGACTTTGACTCCCCCATGCCACGCACAGCAGATGATAAAATACATCTTTCCCTTGCAGTGAAGACGTTCTCTCCCAGACCTGAACTTTGTGGGAGCATTTCACATTAATTTGTGGGTCTGTTCCTACACCCCACAGCTCACGTAGCCCCTGCAGGGTGTGCCTTCCACGTGTGCTGGGTGGGACACAGGCCCTCTGTTTTTCAATGCATGTCACAAACGTCTAGAAGAGGGATCCCGATGGTTTGTTTTCATAGGTGGACACCATCTCCCTCTGGAGGCCTTCACAGGCTCTTCCACTGGCTAAAGCTGTAGCCAAGTCACTCACTTTAGGACAGCTGCATCACTAGAGGCAGGAAAAAGTGAGTTTAGGTTATAGAGAGTCCTCAGAACAAAGCTAGCACTTCACATGGGATCAGCAATCCTCTTTTACACATTCACAGAAGCCAAAACAATTGTGTTAAAAGCTGCAGTGGAAGACAAATCCTCTCCTCCCCTGAGTTTTAGAGACCTCAGGGGAAATCCAGCACAGCTCATGGCACATGGATGCTCTTTCCTCAAACTACTGTTTCAGCCCTCTCTTCCTTCCAGAGGCTTTTCTGCTGCTCTGGTTCACTGGCAGTCAAGAGCTCTACCTGGGGCAATTCCCCTGGAGCAGCTGGCAGGGCTGGGACATCACCTCTGGAAGTCCAGGTGAGCCCTGGCCATGCCACAGCTGTCCTGGGGCTCTACAGAGCACACCCCAAAGGGGTGTCTGAGTGTAACTTTCCATGCAGACATCTAGGATCACAAGGGTACATCAAGCCTGTCAGAATGTCATAGGGATCAAAGTTTGTCCCTCAGCAGAGGCTGCTCAGGGGTGCAGTGTGAAGGATGAAGGCTTTGCACATTGCCATCATTCCCTTACTTTCCCCTGTGCAGACAATCTAATGAGTGTTCCTGTCCTGATATCCACAGAGACTGCAGGAGTCTCTGCAGGAGGAGGAATTTTTGTAGATTCCTCTTCTGCCTACTGGTTTCAGGAGGGTCAGCACATCCCATTTGCAGGGAAATTCTACAGCCAGGGAAAACAGAGAATACAAATCCGCCCAACAGTGCTCAGACAGTGGCCTGGTGTGTGCCAGGGCTGGGTTTCTGCCTGGGCATGCTGGAGAGCAGTCTGAGGTCCAGCCTCAAGCTGAAGAAATGGTCCAAAGGATGATCTGCTGCCCAGAGTGAGGGTCTGTGTGCCTGGACTGGGGCACCCACTCAGAAGTGGTTGGAGGAAGAACTCCTCACTTCTAAAGGCTCTTTTGGGGAACTGTTGCTATGGTGTCCCTTAGACCACATAGCAAAGGTGACCCATGATGTGAAAAGGTGATCTCAGGTTCCATTAGACCCAACCAGCCCAACCCAAAGTGGGGTTTGATTCAGGGACACCACAGACAAGCAAGTGTCTTCTTCTAATGGACAGAGCAAAGAGAGGGCAACCTCTGTAGCAATGCAGGGCAAACGAGCGACCTGGATCTAAACAATCCAGTTAACAAGGAATGCAAATAAAAGGATGCCATGCAAGCCAAATATAGAACCTTACAGTTCTCTGGCTGAGGTGCAGACAGAATCATGGAGTCATAGACTCATGGAATCATTTAGGTTGGAAAAGACCTCTAAGATCAACAAGTCCAACCTTTGACCAATCAACACCTTTTCAACCAGACCAGAGCACTGAGTGCCACATCTTGAACACCTCCAGGGATGGTGACTCCACCACCTGACCAATGCAATCATCCCCAGTTCTACCCTGGATCCATTAGTAGGGAGAAAGGGGGTTTGCACTTCAGCCAAGGTTGTGGGATTTATATGTGATAAAACAGCCTGGCAATGCATCTCAGCAGAAGACTTGGTTGTCAGAGGGAGTAAAGACAGGTAAAGGGTCTTTTTCTCTCCAGGGCAGTGAACTACTGCAGGGCTTTGATGTGGCACTACAAAACTGAGCCTCAGCTCACAGCTGGCCCTTCCCAAAGCAGGTGGCTGCTCCTTGGGCAGTGCCAGTGTGCCTCATGTCCCCACTGTGCCCCAGCCAGTGCCTCCCAGTGCACCCTCCTGCTCCCAGCAAAGGAGATGCCCACGCTGCAGGCACTGCCCTGTGCCCTCTGCACATTTCAGAGGCAGGGGAATGCTGGTGATGGCTTGAGACAGCCCCCAACCCCTGCACCCTCCTGAGCCCCCAGGGCAGAGCCCGTCATCTTCAAGCGGCTGTTGCTTCTGCCTGGTGATTCCAAGCTCCCTGTCTTGAAGCTTTCCCAAAAGCCTCCTCCCAGATCCCACAGCAACATCAGCTCTGTTCTGATGTCACCAGCCTGCCACGGCATCAGCACCCACTGCCACCCCAGCAGCTCGGGGCAGAGGTGCTGGAGGAGCCCCTGCTCTGGGCACAGCAGGGTCTCCATGCTCAGGGTAAAGGGATGAAAAAGGGAAGGGGCAAATCCTGCCAGCTGTGATGCCAGTGAAGCCAGAACAAACCTGCTCAGGTCAAGAGCGGTCACTCATGTCACTGCAGCAGGACCAAGAGCAGAACTGCAGCCAGGCAAGTGAGCAGCTGAGCTGACAGGCTCAGGACAGGAGCCGGTCCAGCTTGGAGCCTCTTTTAACACTGATAAAACACAAAGCCTGACACAGTTGCTGCTCTCTCCAAATGCATTGCCAGATAAACTACAGATAAGAAACAGCCCAGGATAATCCCTCCCTGATGCCATGAGAGAGAAAGGAATTACACTGGGCTGCATTACCACCAAATCTCCTGTATCTTTCCAAGACAGTTTTTGCACTACCCGTGTACTCAGGAATCGAACTGTATCCGTTAAAACGTTTAATCCTGGCAGTATCATAAATATTGCCTTACTCAGTCAGCAAGGAGCAGCCTGGTCTCTGAAGAACAGCCTGATTTCAGGAATATCAGCATTATCAGCAAAGAGCCCATGTGTCTTTCACTACAGGTCATTGCAGTTACCTCAAAAACCGAAGCTATAACTCAAATCTGATCTCTGAGAGTTGGTCTGTCTCAAGGAACAGTACCTGTGACCCTCCAAAATTATGGCTTTTGATATTTACCTCAAGAAGAAGCAAGAAAACAACCAGCTAAACAGCAAATCACCACACAGCAGAACCCCCAGAGAATCAGCACAAACCCCCTCAATTCCCATATCACCATGACAGGAGCTGAGTACTGCTGATCATGAAAGAGCAGATTGCCCTGAATAGTCTTGGGGCTTTGGGTATTTAAACATAGAAAAAATAAAAAAAATAGAAGAAGGAAGGAAAAAAAGAGAGAAGATGAAGAAGAAAGCAGACCTGTAACAAAAGCAGACCTATAACAGCATGAAATATGAATGAGATGCAGAGATTTGCACACTCGCCTGGCAAACAGTCCCTGGCATTTGCACCCTCATGCAACCCACAAGTATTTTCCTGCTGGCTTATCTCTTCTTCCTTTAAGTAAAATTTGTTAAAAATGGGAAGTACCTTTTCCTTGGTCAGGTTCTCTTTCCCCTTTTTTCCCTTCTTTGTTCTTTTTGCTCTTTCCTTTCCCTTTTTTCTTGTTCTCGGACATTCTGCACAAGTGTTTACAGTCTCAGGAAAAGACAGTCCACACCAGATCTATATGCCCCACGACTGCTACTCCAAATGTTACTTGCCAGCTGCAACTTCCGACTGTTCTTATATTGTTTCTGACACAGACAACACCCACCACTGGGTGGAGAAGCAAAACTTTAACCGTTTGCTCACTGCTCCCAGTTGGCTGAGGAGATGCCCTGGGTTGCAGTGGGAGGGTGAGGGAAACAGGGCTACGGGACAGGAGAAGCTCACCCAGGAGTGTCCTGGACACATGAAGTCCAGAGATGGTTTTCCACTTGCTGATTCTGTCTCTGACTGAAAGTAAGTTCTGGACAGCTTCTGGAGCATCACAGAAATGAGTGTTCTGGGGAGCTGCTGAGGTTCACACAGTCATATGAGAGAGGCAGTGGAGTCTAAAGAAAAGGGCAGAGATGTGCCAGCCATTTTCATTTTGCCTTAATCCTGCAGAGGGGTTAAGTTGGCCTTTCTCTTCCTATTGTTGTTCCCACCATAAATCAGAGTGACTCCACCTGCCCTTGCACCCAGCTCTTTGCTGTCCCAGGAAGTCTTTCCAAAAGTTAGGAATAGCTGGAGAGCCCTTACCTTCACTTCTTGTCTCTGTCCTCCATCTCTGGGAGCTCTAGGTGGTTGGTTAAGCCCACCTCTCACCTGCTTGGGGGTTAATCAGGCCCTTCCCACAGTCCAACACGTGATGAGAGACTCAGCCCAGTCCCCTTCTGCAGGGCTGCCCATGCTGACATCACCTCAAAAGTCCGTCAGAATCGTCAGCTGGAAAGCCCCAGAGAACTTGCCAAATCACTCCCAGAAGCAGCTAAGGGCTTCAAAGGCCCAAAGGAGCCAGGAGTTGTAGGGCACTGGGTAGCACATTTGATCCAGTTATCCATGAATCAAACCCAGTTCCGCACTGGTGAGCAAAGCGTGTCCTCCAGAGACGCGCGCCCGCCTGGTGTGTGGACATCAAGAAATGAACGAGGTATCAGCCCCCTTGGGATCCTCTCCCAGTGGTTAATCACCCTCATTGTTAACAATGTCTGCCTGCTCTGAAGTGAAATATCTGGCTTCACTGTCCAGCCATTGTTTCTTACTCTTGTTTTCTCGTCTAGATTAAAAAGCTCTTCAGCAACTGGTATTTTCTCCCATGGAAGTACTTACACTCTGTAATCAAGTTATCCCTCAATTTTCTTTTTTGATAAGCTAAACAGATCAAGTTTGGTTTTTTTCCATTCCTTGCTGTATGGCATTTTCTCCAGCTCAGGATCATATCTGTGGCTATCCCATTTTGCAATATCCTACTTAAGCTAAGAACACAAAAACCAGGCGCTATTCCATTGTCTCTTGTGGACAGAGGAAAATACAGAGGCAAAATCCCTACTGCCACCCATTCCCAGCCTTTTAACTCCCAAGTGCTACATTCAGGCACTGGGCTTCACATGGAAAATCTGTCCCTCTGTGTTTCTACTGCAGCTCCCATCAAGTCCCTGCTCTGCCAAATGGAGTCACCAAGAGGAATTATTTTGCTCTCTCACAGCCCCAGTCTCTGTGGTGAAGCTTCATTTTGTTTCCAAGGGGCCAGTATGCCAAGCCACACCGGGTACCCTCTCTAGCTTCTTTCTCCTCACAGTCTCTGTCTCTCTTGCTGATTTTATGAGCATTTTCACCTCCAGGTTTCTGGTGACGATGATCTCACAGAAACACCTCATGGAGCAGTGACCTCCTGCCAGCACTGGCTTTCTGGTGTTATTCAAGCACTCCTTCACTCGTATGTGAGGGGTAGAGACCTCCCAACACTGCCCTCGCAGTTAGAGCAGAGCACATCATCACACTGAGCACTGGGGCACAGCCTGAGGAGAAGCTCAGATGCGAACACCAGACAGCGCCTGAGCAAACCTGCTCTGAACTATGACGTAAAAGCTCCCAAGTTGCCTGATTTGGAGTCTAACATACGTTGTTTTAACCTAGAACCATAGAATGGCTGTGGTTGGAAAGGACCTTAAAGCTCATGTTATTCCACCCCTGCCATGGGCAGGGACACCTTCCACTGTCCCAGGTTGCTCCAAGCCCTGTCCAGCCTGGCCTTGGACACTTCCAGGGATGGGGCAGCCACAGCTGCTCTGGGCACCCTGTGCCAGGGCCTCCCCACCCTCACAGGGAAGAATTTCTTCCCAATATCTAATCAAAACCTACCCTGTTTCAGCTTACGGCCATTTCCCTTATCCTCTCACCCTATGCCCTTGTGAAAAGTCCCTCTCCAGCTCTCCTGTAAGCTCCTCTAGGTACCTGAAGGCTGCTATAAGGTCTCCCTGAAGCCTCCTCTTCTCCAGACCCTCCCTGTTTCCTTGTCACAGGACAGCAGTAGTCCATCCTACTGATTCTTTTCCAAAAGCAAGGTAATAGTGGTTACTGACCAGTTAGTGTCTTCTGGGTCATTATGAATGATGATTCCCACATGGTTATTCCACTCTTTGGCTCATTACCATATTTCTCTTAGCTAATATGTTTGTAAAGTCCTGTAATTTTGTACTTGAGCTCGACTTGATAGGCAATTTCCCTCCAGATGTCTTTAAGCTTGTTGTCTACACATCGTAATTCCAGATGTACCTGGACTGCTACCTATTTTTCTCTTTACTAAATTTGTCAACCTTCTTATTGCTTCCAGCTGTGCATTTCAGAGCTACCAAGATAGGACATCAATGGGCTAAACCTTGCCCACATTCCTGACTCTGAAATCTCTGCTTTCTTGGCCTCTGCTCAAAGAGCTCCCAGTTCTACTCATTTTCTTGAGAACGTTTTAACACCCAACCAATTTCACCCAGTTTTCCTCAGCCTGGGAAAACACTTCCTTGGAATCCCCAGGAGTGTTTTATACCTGATTACAAATGATATATATGTATCATATGTAATATGATATTTATGTACTCCTATGTACGATTAGAGGTCCCATCTCGTATCTTGTATGAATGGAAACCCACCATGGGCACTGTCCCCAGGCCAACCACGAGGGATTAACACAGCCCCTAAATCCATAAAACAGCATTTACCAGGCATAACGAGGCCCAAACCCAATACTCTTGATTTTGGTGTTAAATCTGCCGAGTTTTGAGGTACTTGGATGTTTTACTCCTAGGGATATCTGCCTTGCCAGCAGCAAGGCAAGTGTGTCCCAAATGGATGTGTGTCATAAAAAACACATTTTCCTCCCTCCTTGCTTTTCTTTTGCAATTTTATTTTCATCCTGAAATAGCTATTCCCACTAATTTCTTCCCATGAGGACAGTATTTTTAAGCTCCTCCCCACCATCTCTGAAGATAAACTATAGCTCTTCCTCCACTCCAGCAAACTTGTCTCCATTCCTGTTAAAGACACAAAGTCTGTGTGTTCATGGGATCACCTTTCCAAAGTCCTTGCATTTAGCAGAGGTTTCTAAAGGCAACAAGTGCAGCTAAGATGATGCCATACCTTTTCTTCCCCCACACTTTTTCCAAATGAATGAATAATCCAAGATTCCCTGCTGCTGAACAGGGCTCAGAGGGTGAAGCTGTGCACAGCTCAGCTTTAGCACCAGGAAATTACAATCTAAGTCAAAGAAGAAGTGGCAGTGTGTGGCTTTGCCCCACCATCCTGAGCAGCCTGGGATTTGTGATGGGAAGGAACAGCACCAGCAACACCCAATGTGGCTATTTTTGTACCTTGGCTCAATCCCAGTCTCGCCTGTGACAGGTGAGGAATATTACATGCAGATTAATTTTTACCTTGGCAGGTGTACATCTTGTACATCTGGATACCTTATCCAATGGGCTGGCCCCCGTCCCAGCTAGGGACCTGCCCCTCCAGATCCAGCTTTATCATGGATCATATGGAATACGCTGTCTCCTGAGCAATCACAACACCCAGCACGCATTCAGCACGCGACTTCAGTCCTCCTGTGGCTGCACTGATACAATTAAACCTCCCAATGGCAAGCTGATCCCAGCTTGGTGTCCCAGGTTGGTGCATATTTTAACAGCTGCACTCTCACAAGTCACTTAATATTTCATTCTAAAACAGCTTTTAATGTTTATGGCTTTAAACAGCCTCGTGGAGAGTTATAACCTAAACCACCATCAACACATGGGTTTTTCAGTCTTTACAATTCCTCTACAGCTTTAGGCTTGAAGGAGAGAAGGGATGTAATTATATAAGAGGCTGAGCCATACCTTAAGCACGGATAATTCTTGCATGGAATCCAGCATTCTGAGCAGCAGGGCGAGTTTGCCAGGCACAGAATCCTTACCCTCGTTAGGATTTGCCTATATGCAAACCCAACAAGTTTGGATCCTTTATAATCCCCTGGAAACCAGAACAGAGATCAGGCAAAAGAGAACCTCCCTACCTCATCCCCTACATAGTATCCATTGCCATCAGATGCTGTGGAATTGCTTCTTCAAACAAAGATCAGCCCGGTGGAGAACGGAGTTGGTGGAGAAGAGCGACGCTGCTGCTCTGCACTCTGGCTTCTTTCCTGGGAGGACAGAAGGCACTGCTCCCATGCGGAACAGCAGTGTGCTCTCCAGGGAAAAACAGCCAGCTTTGCATCTGGAAAGAAATTAATACAACACCTCCCAGCCTGATGGGGATTAATAAAAAACTCTGAGCCATCACTGCTCCCTGATATTAGCTGAAACCCAGACGGCAAGCCCGTTCCAGCTCCTGCAGCCTCCGAATTTCAGGAGCGAAGTCAGGCGCGCACGCTCCACACGCGTCTGTGGCTGCATTTACAGCAGCAGTCTTGGGAGCACAATGACCCATTTTAAATCGTGGCTTTCTCACACTCTTCCACTGTTGGCTTAACTCTGCCTTCACTGGCATCACCAGGAGGTGGCCATCAGCTTCTGGGGAACCTCTGTGTCACATTCCATGGGCTGTCCCAGAGCTGCCAGCTCCTGCTTAACGGTGGGGTCAACCCAAAATTGGTGGCAGCCAGAAATACTTGCACATTATTTCTGGAGATGTGGAATAAAGGAAGGCACAGCAGGACTGTACCTGTCAGAATCCCTTTGGCTTGTCAATGCAATCTGCTG